GAGGCGGGAGGAGGCGGGAGGAGGTGGTATCAGCAGGAGCAGCAGCTTGTTTACAGTCCAACTGTCGGACCGTCGCAGTGACTCTGCAACAACGCCGCTGACGTCACCGGGCACAAACACACACTGACGTCACCGGGCCAGGGCGCGTTCACGGACAGTGGGAAAATAGCAAACTCTCTCTGTTCACACACACGGCAGAGAAAACTGTACGGAAGCGTGTTGCATTCACTTGAGCAAAAACTTATTTAGTTTTTGGTTTGTTTTTTTTGAATAATCATTTCTGTTTTTCGGAGTTCAAAAAATGTGTCCGAAAAACATAAGAGAAAAAAAATATTCAGAAAAACAAACCAAAAAATAAATTACTCCAAAAAACAAACCTAAAAATGTAGTTTTAAGTGAATTCAATGCGCTTCCGTAAAACCGCACTCGGTGTAATCACAGTGTGTTTGTTATTCACATTTTAGTGTGTTTGTTTGTGTTTTACATAATTTGTAGGCCGAGGACACAGCGTCTGAACGAGGAACACGGTGTTAATGTCGGTGTTATGTAACATCCACACAGGCTGCTGTTGGAGAACAATACTCAGGAGATTGGATCCATATGAGAACCTCTATGAGAACCTCTATGAGAACCTGTATGAGAACCTCTCTCAGAGACACACACTGGTTCTCTACCTGTTGACACTTTATATTAAGGTACACATAATAAAGATAATAATAATAACATGTTTGCTTATAGAGCAGCTGTCATACAATAAATGCAGTTCATGTTATTAACACAAACACATTAGGTAGAATATATACATACACATACATCTCAAAGATAGATAATATATCGATTTTTGTTAAACAACGACAACAAAGAAACTTGAATAAATAGGTTTTTAACTGGCTTTTAAAAATAGAGCGTCTGCATATCTTAGGTCACTATTAACTAGTTGCTTATGCATATTAGTAGCATGTTGGCTGCCATATTAAAGCACATAGTAAAGCTGCAGTAGGTAATAGTTATAAAAATAACTTTTTGTCATAACTTTCACTGTATCCTGACAGTAGTACACGAGGTGCAAGGTTACTCTTTTTGTACCAAAGGGTAGATCTGGTTTTCAATAAGGCATTACTGAAGATAAAAGTGCTTCAGCCTCTAAAAATCAGGAGACAGATCAATAATATCTACTAGAATAAACTGAACCAGATAATCAGGTTCTTCTGTTAAAGGAGGAGCCAGAATATCAGTCTCATGTTTTACTGTCAGGATAAAATATTTAAAACCTACTGCAGCTTTAGTGCCTTCTTCTACATGATCATAGCCCAGTGGTTCCCAACCTGGGGGTCTCAACCCCCACCAGAGGTAAAAACTTTATATCTCAGGTTCACTTCTGTGAAAAACAGCCAATCCCAGTGGTTCTAAACTTGTTAACAACTATTAATAAACTATTAAACCTTATTATTATTTAAACTTCCACTAACAGCCCGGCTTTTATTTGGTTGAATCACTGAACTGCCTGTATTTGGGACGGACATTTAAAGCTCCAGTGTGTAACATTAATGAGGAGAAATGGATTATAATATTCATGTGTATATTTCATTAGTGTATAATCACCTGAAAATAAGAATTGTTGTGTTTTCGTCACCTTAAAATGAGCTGTTTTCATGTTATCGTGGGGGCCACCATCTGGCTCTTTTTTACCATAGAGTCTCCATCGCACATCAAAAGGGAGGGTGAAGCGAGTGAGTTGCAATCACACCGCTAGATGTAACTAAATCCTAAACACTGGACCTTTAATTTATTTTACAGAGAACTCAGATTGTTCATTTAAACCAGAATGAATATTATTGTGTGTGGCTATCTGATAACAAATCAATTAGGAATCATTCATTTGATCATTTGATTGGCGGTCGGTCGATATGGGTCGATATGGTTACTGCTGGCCGATATATCAAAACAAAGAAAAGTCATGTATAATTCTGTTCAACAGGAAATTACATGTTTACAGCTGGATGTTATAGTACAGGGCTTGAAAACAACCTTTTTCACCACCAACCACAGCAGAGCAGCCACTGGGACAAGCTCCCTGCAGATGTGTCTGAAGAAGTGTTTATGTTGTAGCACGTATATATTGACGAAAGCTTGAACATCGATAGTAAGTAACCACAAGAATAATCTTTCCCCCTTAATAACACTTCATAAATATGATCTAGTGTTATGTAACTAAATATTACACAATTGTTAATAGTGTCCGAATTAATGTGAATTCTTTCTAACTCTGTTCCCAGTTCTGAGCATTGTTATATTTGGAGGCGACTAACAACTTATTACTGCGCTGTAACTGTATTTAATGCAATTTTATCTGAGCTTTCAGGTCTCATTTTATTATCTGTTAATAGTAGTTGTGGAGGGGGCTTCAACTGCAACCCTGCTGGTTCCCAGCCGGTGTGCAGAGACACCGAGGTGCTGTGGGAGTGTTAACAGTGTTAATTTACTATATCAGCACTTTGTTGTTCCATTGTCTCTTCTGGAATCTTCCAGGGTTAAATGGGGGTAGTGCAGGTTTGATGCAATGTTACAAAGTTTGAAATCAATTCTTAAATTCATTTTCAATAAATATGTCATGAGTGATAGTTTTTATCTGGTATTAGTGATAAAAATAAATGTTCACAGAGTGATAACATGTTGTAGAGGCTACAGGTTTTAACTTTGTATAATGACAATAATAAATAATAATAAATCATCTTCTAAACAGAATTAGAAACACACTTACTGATATTTATTCATTATTAATGTGACTATATTGTCTTTATTTGTATTTATTTCTCCTTGTTTCTCTGCACTTATTAGTTTGTTCTGTCAATGTGTCCTTTCCTCACATATATATATATTTATATTTATTTATAAATATATCAGTTATATAATTTGCAGGTTTTTGTTGTAAAAACAAACAAAAACAATTAAAATGAATCTTATTTACATACAAACACTTCCGGGGATGTGGACCAATCACACGGCGCCAACTGGACGTTGTTCCCGGAATGTTCCGGCCTCGTCCAATCAGAGCGGAGTGCGTGGAGGACTACAGGAAGTGCTGCACCTCTCGACCAATAGGCGGCCGGCACAGTATGACGTGGCACCGGAAATACCCGGTGGAACCCGGATGTTGCGTGCTCACTTGAACCGGCGTCCGCACGGAGACGGTACCGACCCATGAGAACAGAACCCGTTGTTCCGTTACAGCCGTTACAGTCAGTACCGACGGTCGCCATGTTCTGTTGGAGCGGGCTGTCCGTGGCGCTCGCGCTCGCGCTCTCGCTGGTTCCCGGTTCCGTTAAAGCCGCGAAGGACGGAGACTGTGAAGGTAAGACCGCTAATGGACCGGGACCGGGACCGTACCGGGACCGGGTCTGTTAATGGACCGGGACCGGGACTGTACCGGGAGGAGGTCTGTTACTGTACCGGGACCGGGTCTGTTAACGGACCGGGACCGGTACCGGGACCGGGAGGTGTACCGGGTCTTAATGCTTACAGGCAGCAGCTTACATGAGAGCGGTCCATCCCATAATATACTGTGATTCTGACTTTATATGAAATAAAACAACAGCTCAGTGTTTATAATTATATTAATATAAATTATATTCAGTATTTAATATATAAATATATATATATATATTATATATATATGTATATGTTTATATGTTTATATATTATATATTATATAATATATATAATTATATTAATATATAAACAATAATAAATGTAGAAACAGAGACAGAACAACAGACTGAGGAGAACTAAAACTAGTTACTACAGGTTGAACAGGTAAGATCTGTCAGACACAGAGAGCGTCATCTACAGGTGATCTACAGGTGATCTACAGGTGATCT